CTTAATTGCAAAAAAACTTCTTTTAGTATTTTTTTTTTTTTTGCGATTTACGTTTTAGACAATAGAAAAGGTGGTTTTATGTATTCATACGTGTAACGTAGCATAAAATTCCATAATCTATAAAGTTCCCTCCCAAAGTGAAATTATAAAAGACACTTTCCACATTTAGGTGCCATCCAGTGGCAGCCTGTTGAGACTTCATCAATTATGTAGTAATAGCAGAAACTGGGGTCATTCTGTTCTGGCATCTCCAACCCTAATTAGCAGGAACTTAAATGTATACTGAAAGGAAGGTTTAAATATTTTTCCGATGTTCGGAAATAAGTTGAACATCATCTACCATATCTGCTGATGACAATCTCACGTCTGTATCTTCAACGGGTGGCCATATTCTTTAATCCAGACGGCTGATTCTCGCGAGTGCTCAAGGAGCGGCCATCGGAGAGCGCAATGCGTCACGGAAGACTGTGACGTCACGTTTCTCAGGATGGGCTAGGCGAAGCTGGTGTCGATATGAGCTTTGCCACTTGATGGCATCAGGGGGTTACAACATAGCCGTTTGAGACGACCGTGGTCTGGTTAGGAAATGCCAGCAGAACCAAAGGAGTGCCTCGCCCACGCTTCAAACTTCTTTGCTGACCCTTCAGTCTCATACCCTCTCCCCGCAGGAGTTGAATAGGCTTGGTAGAGAAGGGGAAATCCAGTTCGGCCAAGTTCGGCAAGGAACGTGTGCACGCAGCTTGTTGCCGGACCTCCACAGAGCAACGCTGCTTTTATGGGAAAGGGGACATTCAAATTAGCTTTGGGAACATTCACCGCGTGTAACCTGGTTATCCAGTCTGTTCGATTTAAATAAACTTTTGGGGCCTTTTTAAAGGGGTTCTTTAGAGATTTCTTATTAATGGTCGCTGATTTGCTTCGAAATCGGCTCAACACAGTGTAGACATGGCTGTACCAGTTCCCGAAGTATTGTTATAAAATATTTTTTGTTGCAAAGTTAGTGAATTTTAGAATTTTGTTTCCATCATGTTTCTAAAACTTGGAGCCCCTATTTCGAAGTGTGATGACAGAAATGGTACAAAGTGGGCATTAAACCACATCCCTAACTGATTATGAGACGATTGATGGTGGGAAGAAAATGCTTCGAAGCTAATTCATTGAGAAGCATGAAAAAAAAAATGAAAAAAAAACGCTCGACATATTTTGTTTAAGGCTACCTGCACGTCCTGAAAGTTTGTACCATTTGTGCCGTCACAGCACTGGAGAGCGTTTGGGAATTTGAAAGTGGTGTCGGCATCATCTTCATTTACGGTGTTCTCAATAGCCATCTTGAGTTTAGAGACAATAGATAGCATATAGCATACCTGCCAACTCTTCCGAACAACTTCCGAACAGTACGAATATGGACTCGTTTTACAATGTTACAAATCTTGCTTCAAATGCTAAAAAAAAAAAAATTTATTTTTTTTTGTAAATTTATTGGTGGTATTTTGCACCGCCACAAGAGGGCGATAGGTACCGTCCACGGCAGCGTCGTGGTTTTTACTATCCAGTGGCCACGGATCGAAAACCAATCCAAAGCTCAAAGCCTTTGTTCGTGTGTTCGGCGTGTTCAGACGTTGTTGGGCCTCGTTGTTTCGGCCAGTTTCAAGGCGAGAAGTGGGGCGTCTGTGTTCGTTGCACGTCTAACCGTAGCATTCTCCTGGTTGCTGTGGCTTCGCGGCGCAATGGCGAACTCCAAACCTCAAAAGAGGTACTTTCAGGTGTTCCTGAAGTCCTTCCTGCACGTCGGAATTTCCATGCTTCGTGCCGCCCAAAAAGCGAGAGAACTTTGGATTCTGTAGCACGTGCTCGTGTGATGTAACCGTTTCACACAGTGGCAAGGCTGACATTAAGCTGCACATTGCTGCCTTGCATACCCCCCCCCTCCCACCCCCCACCCCTCTCGCGGCCGCGGGGCTTTTACAAATTTGAAAGTCCACAAATTGGCAGGTATGATGGTAGTAAAGAATTCAGTCCGGGTATTCAGAAAATGAGATTTGTTTGGGTAGCTCAAGAAATGGCCGGAGCACCCCTTTAAAGGGGCCCTGCAACAACTTTTTGACTGATTTTTATTTTGCGCCGATCCTGAGCGCACTGAACGTGGTAACTTAATGATACCTTTCTTTTCTCAAAATTCGCTTTATTTTAAAAGTTATAGGCAAATTAGAATTACAAAAACAAGCAAAAAATAACCTCCTTCATGACGTCATAGGTCCTGGCTTGAGTGGCCGTGAACTAGATGAGGGATAGTGAGCTCATCGAGCGCTCACGGCTGCCGCACTCCGTGTCGACGGCTCGAGAGGGCGCCACTAAAGCACGTGTTGGATAGGCTGTATGAAGCGGGCGGTCAGGGCGGCTTGCATTGCATTTGCTGCACGATTAAAGGCTAATTCAACATAACACTTCATTGGCCACAAACGACAGCAAACACGGGGTAAATATCAGTTCAGAATGGGAGCCACTTCCCGCTGCCATACCGCGAAACGGCCAAACCGCAAGGGAAAGTTTCTCGCCGAAGGCCTTCGGAGCACTCGGAGCCGGTCGGATTCTCCTGTCCATACGACCGCAGCGCCGACGCGTACATCCGGGACCTTTCTACGCACGCCGTTTGTCGGCGCCTCATCCCACTAGCCCTTTCTAGTATGCGCCGTTTTTTCCGCCGCTTGGTGGTGGGTATGTCGACGGGTCATTTCTTGTTTCCGTACTTTATTAACTGCATTTGTTTCTTTTCTGATCTAAAATACCGAACAAAAACACTTTCATACATAATTGAAACGGTTTGCGACACTTGTATTTTGTATCTCGACTAAAAAAAAGATTTTAGCGGTTCTGACCAGTAGTAAGCCCAGGACCAAAGACGTCACATATCGCGCGCTTTCGCCAACGCGGGTCGCCCTCGTAGGTGGAGGAGGTTCCCGCGTCATTAGGTTAAAATATGACTCACTGATATTTAGTTACTCTCTCCGTGCCCGCTGGCTTGCCGGAACCCCAAAAGACCTGGAAACCGCAAAAAAGGTACACGCTTAAATATGATTGCTGGGCCCCTTTAAGCAAAATATTGGTGTCTCTGTGTGGTAGTCGGAACAAAGTCGACATTTAGGCCAGGTCTCCAAACCGACCGTCCCGTGGCTAGCCGCAATCTTTCCAATGAAGCCTGGCCCGTGGTCCGCTTCCAGCAGGCCCGCTGCTACCGGTGTTACAATAAGTGTGTTTAAAGAAATGGCACCGTAGCACGCACCAACCGCATAAACATACCAGAAAAAAGATGAGAGAAAGCTACCGTAAGGCATGTCCTCTCATCATATTATTCACTGGGCATATTGTCAACAGCAGCACCACCATTCTTAGTACCATGTTTTCTATCTGTGTAACTACTTACGTTCAAATTTCTTTGCATTCCCATATATATTGTGCTTGGTGTACCCTGTCATATCTACTACATATTGTCAGATCACTTGATGCTGACAATACACTTTATGAGTCATTTCTGGTACATTTTCTGGATCCCAATTATTGTGTAATGTGATAATTAGCTAAATATAGAATTTTATAACAAAGCATATGTATTTGTGCACCCTAAATTATTTTTTTTAATGTTTACTCCAACTTTAAATTTTTGATTGAAATGCTTACAGTACATCTAAAATTCTTAATCTTGTTTTTTTCTAACTCATTTTGATCACCGTAAAGTACCGAGCAATCACCCACTCAGAATTCGGAGATAATCACGCAAAAGGGGGAGATGGTTCCTTGTTTGGTCACAAAGTTTACCTATATTTGTACCATCCATATTGTTTTAGACGTTACCTAATGAGGGGCTGAGCACTTAGTGTGGAATGGGCAGATGCTCAATATTTTACGGTATTCGTTTTCCGTCCCTCGAGACAGCTGGAGAGCCTTGATCCAGCCCCTTAACCAAGTCGTTCGCAGGCTTCTGATTTAGACTATAAAATAGGCACAACAATTTCAATTCAGTACCCCTTTAGGTCATTGTAAAACATTATAGAATGATAATGTCTCTTGCAAGGTGGCTTTTTGATCTGTTCTCGATTTACAACCTTTATCATAAGGGAAGAGCACGACAAATTTGTTTTGTTTTATTACCTACGCAAAAGCATTCTTTCATGCAAATGAAACACATCCACTCTGCTTCACATTACTGCCAGCACCTGTGCTCGGCAAGAGTGTGGTGGGTGTATCTTGTTGGCCACGCGTATGGTAGTAACATTATGGCAATTTTAGGGGTAATTAAAGGAAAGCCAGTATGGAAAGTTAACGGAGTGCATAGCACATAAGGCACCACAACGGCAACAAATGCTTTCAGGCCGATGATGTGTTTTCGTGAGAAAAGTGTGGCAGATTTGGAGAGTAAGAGCATATCTTAACCATCTTATGCCACCATTAGTCAGGAACAAGATGGCCAGGCTGACCTTTTTAAACAAAGGGTAGGGGTATTCATCTTCCTTGACAAAAATCAACTTGAAATTTATATTTAAAAAAAAAAGGCATGGGGAGGGTGATGGGGAGGTACTTGCACATGCACGGGTTCATGCTAGTATGCAATGACAGTATAATGTTCTCATCGCTGTATTATGAATTTATTGCATTGACTTTTGAGTGCATCACTTGAGCGCAGCAGCAGTTTTAGGCTTATTCAGAGTTGCAGTGTGTCTCTCTGCATGGGTGCCCATTTTCCCGCATTTCCTCGTCGCGCGTAACATCTGGACGGGTATAATCGCAACCGCTTTCAGCAGAGCATCACCCAAGCCCTACCCAGTGAAATGCACAAAGCCGTGCCACCGGACATGTTAAAAGTGCCTCCGAGCCTCTCTAGCAAACGTCACGAGGGGAAAAATTGCAATCAGTGTCCGGTTGAACCAAGGAGGAGCCATCCGGAGCTTTGACCCCGCCCCTCCCCCTCATTGCAGGAGCGGCACTTCCGGTAGGAATCCCCTTCCCCGGGCACCCCTCTCCCCCTGCGTGCCGTTGCCCCATGGGAGATGGTGCCAGCTTGGGAGCTGGTCAGGCAATCGGACTCCTCTTGCACGTGCCGCGAGGTCAACTGGGACTTTGAGTGCTGCCCCCTCTTGCAGCGGAACCTCCGCAGACTGCAGGACATCATGCCCGGTCCCAGCACGGGCAAAAGCGTGGACGACATGCGCAGGCTGACGCGCGAGTGTTTTGTGGCGCTCCGGCGACTGGAGGACTTGCCGGGGGTTCGCTTCCAGAACCACGTGCCCCCCGAAACAAAAAGTGACGCAAACAGTTCCACGTCCTCTCGGGACCTCCACTGCCCCGAACATGGCGCGCAGCTTAACGGTGACGACGTGCAAGTCGTCGGAGGGACAGACGAGGACTCCCTCCGAGACAGGGTTCGCAGCACGATCCGGCGCAGCCGTCACGACCCGCAGCGGGTCCTTACGCGCAAGCTTGGCTACAGCGTCACTGTCAGCGACTTGCGTACGCTGTTGGGCACCAACTGGCTGAACGACGTGGTGATAGACTTCTACATGGGGCTGATTGTGGAGCGTGCGAGCCTGGAGCAGGGGGGCATGAGGGTGCACGCCGTGACCACGCACTTCTTCAACGTGCTACGTAGCCGGGGCTACGACGCGGTGCGCCGCTGGACTGAAGGTGTGGATTTGTTCGACGTAGACCTAATGCTGGTGCCTGTGCACGACCAGGACCACTGGTCCCTGGTGGCCCTGTGGATGCAGGAGCGGACGTTCTCGCTCTACGACTCGATGGGGCGCGAAAACAAGCCGTGCTACCGGACGCTCATGGAGTACCTGCGGAATGAGCACCGGGACAAGAAGCGGCGGCCCCTGGTGGAGCCCGACGGAGGCTGGGCCTGCCAGTTTGCCAAGAACATTCCCATGCAGAGCAACACGCACGACTGTGGCATGTTTGTCTGCCTCTATGCGGAACGATTGGTGCGCAACGCACCTTTCGACTTCTCAGCGAGGGACATACAGCGGCTGCGTTACCGCATGGCTTACGAGATCCTTACGGGAAAGCTGCTCTGATGTACGGACAGTTTTAACACTCCTGTAGAGCTTCGAGAACACTGATGATGTTGGACCTGTGCCGAGAGGAAGTGAGGTGACTTGCCCGTAAAAGAGTTGGGAGGAGGGGGGACCTAAAAAGTGTTTGTGCCACCGTCCTGTAAAAGCTGGGAAGTTTTCCTTTGACTCACTTATAAGAAAGAGCTCAGTTTCATGTTTTTCTTTTTTTTTTTTTTTTTTTACAAACTGTTAGAGTTTTGTTTTCTGCTGCTGTGCTCAGTGTGTAATGCTTGCCCTGCTGCAGGTTTCCATGTACGTCATCTTGTCATTGCTTTTTTCTATAGAAATTTAGGATTGCGACAGGCCGGGCAGGCGTAAGAAATGGCAGGCAACTGTCATTTATTTATCCCCACTCTAAACATCATTCTAGATAAACGTTTTTCCTTAAGTCCATTGACCCTCTGTTTTTATACAATGTATTTGTGATTCAACAATGTCTTAGTCTTTTTCTTGTGATGGGGGGGGGGGGGGACAGCTATGCACATGCCATCTTCACTCTGTTTTGGGGTTCAGTGGACATTAGATGGAGCGATAATCATAGCAGTAAGTTGGATAACTCTCTAAGGCCTCTTAAAGGGTAATGGCAAAGAAAAAAAAGTTTTTTTAAACAGCCTAATTGGGACAAGCATGAAACAAAACAAATCTTCTGCGAAAAAAAACAAATTTTTTTGCAATATTTAGGCCACAGTACGTAATTTAGTTGGAGTCACCTCTCCACATATGAAACTCCCACTCTTTCGACTAGCGCAGAATAGCTGTTATACGTCGCTACCAGCTTTGTGGCGCGTGATTTAAAACAGACGAGATAGCCGCAAACGAAAATCTGTCTCGCGCTAGAAATATTGCTGTAAAAAATGTTTTGCACAGAAAGTTTTTTTTACATGTTTGTCCCAATTAGGCTGTTTAAAAATACACTTTCTTTTGTTTGCAGTTACCCTTTAATTAGTTTTTATTAATAGTTAGATGGGTCATGCAGGAGGTGTAGTTTCTAAGGTAGTCATTAATTTGCAAAATGGCAACAGGTTTCGTAATGTGCTCCTACAAGTTTTATTTCCTTCGCCCGATTTTGAAATTGGGCGCTGAAAGGGTACCGGAAGTGCTACCCACAAACACATATTGAAGAATGAAGTGGTCGTCTTTGCAACATTGGCACGTCACTATCCTGGTGGCTCATCCTTGGTGAAGGCGTGGATGGCACACTTTTGGTATAGTGATGACGAGGATTGGCGCTTTTTCTGCTGAGTTTCAGAAGCGAGCGACAAAACTGTGAATGCTGGTCAATGGGTATCACAATGCCTGTTGCCTTTTCGCAGAATCTATAAATTGGTTTAGCCTGTAATAGTAATTCTCGGTATTGCGGTTAAAATATGACCTATCAGTCTGTTAATCACTTGCCCAATTTTTGTTACTTGCCTACTTATTGTGGTAATTATCACCACACCTAATGTCTTCTGAGCCCATACACATACAGAAGGATGGTATCCATGTAGCAATCACCGGCTTTTTTTTAAAAAAAATTTTAGTTAGCAATGTACACCCTGTGTAATATACTAGCGTCGCGCATTCAATACTCTGTGGGTTTTTCATCATATGAATAGCTCGATGGGAACACAAAAAGCTCTTTTTCTCTGCGAGCCCTGTTGGGTGTTTTTATGGATACAGGATTTTTGGGGAATTGAAGGAGGGGGACAAAGTTCAGGTCACATATCAGTGGTGCTCACTAAGCACTGATTAGGTGGTGAAGTCATACTGACTTGCTTTTGTGAGGCGGATGAAATGCTTCAAACTCTGAACATGAATACTTCACTCAGTATGGGCTAGGAGAATCTTTTTTTTCCTATTTACATATTCCCCATTTAGTACATTTAAGCCCCCCCCCCCCCCCCCCCCCCCGGGTTATCCGGGTCCCTTGGAAATAAATCTCCTTGGTTGCATGCATAGCAGTCATGTCTGCCTGTATGTATACTCTGCAACACTGTTAGCAAAAGCAAGCCACCAACAGTTTTCTGTTTTTCCTTCAGTATTGTAGAATTGTCATAAAAAATTATAGTGGCAAAAAAATCTCAGTTGGGGTGGTAACTTAATTCGTAAATTTTGATCCCCGCCAGTGTTCTTTCGAAGTAAAATGTGAAAGAGTGTTGAATTTCTGTTTTGCACTTGCAGTGTTGCTCAGTGTACTTGAGCAAATAGTATTCCTCGTTCCTCCTTAACAACTTCCTTTGTATGTTTACTGTATGTAATATGTGTGGCACACATTGTTGAATGATTGTTCTGATGTCACCATACTTTGTTACAGAGATTATTCCTTTTAAGATTTTCATTCTACTCTACCTTGCAACACCTGGCAGAAAGACATTATTTGTGTCTCTACTTAAAGCAGGAGAAATCTTAGACTACATAGGTGTGCTTCTGAGCAAACAGTAAGTAAGACTCATAGGGTAGCCATTGTTTTGCTGAGAGATCTCATTTCCCTTAGCACAAGTCTTGGCAAACATTGGCCCCCTCTTCTAGGGCTTTCTCAGTTTTCCTCTCTAGTGAGAGCTGCTACATTTTTCTCATGGGAACTGCATGGGAAACCATATTTCTGCTCAATTAAATGGTTTTGTCAAGGAAGGATCATTGCCAGCCCTCAGTTTAGTTGGGCCCAGTCAACCAACTAATTTGTTTTTGAATAATTTTAAAAGGTACAGGGCGTGCTAAGGCAGACTGTAGTCGGTGGTGAGCTAAGGATTCGGTAGAAGCCTCAACTCCAGAATGTGTTGGCTGACTTCCACTGCCGTGCCTTGGCTGCATGTGCGACGTTATCAAAAGCAGGAAGCTTGAGGCAGGGCATCTGCTGCATAGTCGCAGGTATTGGAGTCATGTGATGACTGTGTTATGGGTAGATCTTGAAATATCATTTGTTTTATTTTGGGGGAAAGGACGTTACAAAATTCCAAATAAGTGCCCCTGGAAATATTTTGGAGCTTTCATTGCTGAGGCCGATGTCTGCTAAGCTCGAGAGTTCCAGTTTGGTGTTAAGCAGCCTCGGCAAATGAAAATTATATTAAAACCTTACAGATCAGACATTGGTATTATTATTATTGCATAAAGCTGCAGTGCTGCAGCTCGAGATTTTGATTTCTACCATACTGTGTAAAACATGGATTTTGTAAAAATGTTCAGGAGTTTGTGCTGCACAGCGTTGGGTATTGGTTTTGTGACTTTATACATAGACACCATTTTCTTCGTTCTTAATAGTTTTCTATTTTTTTTCCTGCGAGATCGGTGCCAATTTTTTTTTAAGCTGAACTCGTGTCATGTGCCTTCTGCCGTGCCAGTGGTGACCGCTCATGGTCAATACTTTGACTTTGTCACTGTTGACGATACATGTTACACAGACTGGGAATTTCGTTACCAGTGATTGAGCTAACCTTGTAACCTAGGACTTCCCGCTTGCACTCATAGTGAGAACATGTGTTGAGCAAGGCACATCTGTTTTTATTGCAAAGTTGGCAATGACCTCACTTGAAAGAAGCGATACCATTGTCTGTCATCTTGTCTTCTCTCATCAACTGCTAGTTTGCGGTGGCGACAGTATTTGTGCTTCGAACTGTTCCCGCTTCTTCAGGGGTCTCTCCTATCAAACAATGTAAAAAGATGCAGCGTCATATCGAGACAAGCGTGTGCAGCGTGGGCACGCTAAAATACACAGACGTATGAATAATTTTTGTTTTCTTTTGTTCTGTCTTGAAATCCGGACACCAGCGGGCATCTTAACTGAAAATGTCTGTTGTCTTGTAGGTGCAGAATGTTGTGCACTAATAAATGTGCTTCTATTTTTCTACTGTTACGGACGTTCACAGCTCCGCTCCTTCTTTGTTGTTGCAAACCTGGTCCAACTAAGACCGAACTTGATAATATGTTGGCACTGATATGCACAGATATCCAGTTACTTGTGCCTTTCTAACTGTTTGCTCGTGTGCAGCGTTTTCATAAATTTTAGGGGCCGCCGCGATTGCGATTGTCAAGGTAATGGGAGCTTTCACTAATGTTCAGTTGCTACTTCTAACCATTTTCTAAGGTTTTTTTTTTTTTCAACTCATGTTTCTGTGTTACTCATTTGCTGTGGCACACTGCTGGACTAGGGATGGACCTTTTAAATGTAATTCATTGGAGTACTAATTGCTGAAGTTGCATCGTAATTATGGTAATACCATTAGTGTAATTAGCAGCTTAGTTGCTGTAACATCATTACGACAATCGTTGTTTCTATTGATCTACCGAAGTTTTGACAAAATTTCTGCTATGCAACCAGTTCAGTGTGTGCATAAAGCTGCAAAGTGCGCCAGTGTCTACAATTCATAAAGTCTATCCCACTATTTCTTGTTTCTCGAACCGAGGGATCTCGTTGCGAGGCAGTTGATATTTGACTGAATTAATGTTTTTGCGTGGGATCGATCTAGTATGTGGTTAAAAAATATAGACGGGCATGTCAAGCGCCCGCCCCAGATTGAGTTCACCTACTAGCTAACCGAGACACTCCTCCTCATGAGACTTGTACACGTTACTATAAAAAGAAAGAAATTACATTTACATTTACCCATGCGTTACCTTCAACCTTACTCTCCTAGGAAAGTGTTTTGGAAGTGTTCATTGTTGGCCGCCACTCATGCTTTTGCGACGTTGAACCAGATCTGGCTCTCAAAAGTCTCATCGTACATCTTGCCTCGTTTCAATGTGAAGACGTCGTCCGTTTCCTTGCTTTTACCACAGTCTCGGGTTTTCCACATCATTTGCAATCCACCTTTGTCCAAATAAGTGGTGACACCTATACTTCGTTTCAGCTTCCGTCCGAGCGCAGCCAAAGGCTGAGGGACGGTTCGCAACTTCGAGAAGAGCATTCCTACGCACCACAAAGTAGTTCACAAAAGTACTCTTTTTTTTAAACAACTGTTTTGTGCGTAAAAACTGCACAATGTT